TTTTCGAGAAAAAAAAACGACAGTGGTTACCCCTTACGTTTTTTTGGTGGGGCGAAAAATTAAGTTCCCCAATCTTCCAAAACTCTGGATTCTGATAGAGGGCCATGAGACTTAGTCCTGAGTGCAAAAATGGAGGCTCTAGACCCTTCCAGAGCTGAGATATCGAAACTCAAAATTTCGACCCGAAAAAAAAAACGACAGTGGTACCCCTTACGTTTTTTTTGGGGGCGAAAAATTAAGTTTCCCAATCTTCTCAAAACTCTGGATTCTGATAGAGGGCCATGAGACTTAGTCCTGAGTGCAAAAATGGAGGCTCTAGACCCTTCCAGAGCTGAGATATCGAAACTCAAAATTTCGACCCGAAAAAAAAAACGACAGTGGTACCCCTTACGTTTTTTTGGGGGGGGGGCGAAAATTAAGTTTCCCAATCTTCTCAAAACTCTGGATTCTGATAGAGGGCCATGAGACTTAGTCCTGAGTGCAAAAATGGAGGCTCTAGACCCTTCCAGAGCTGAGATATCGAAACTCAAAATTTCGACCCGAAAAAAAAACGACAGTGGTACCCCTTACGTTTTTTTTTGGGGGGGCGAAAAATTAAGTTTCCCCAATCTTCTCAAAACTCTGGATTCTGATAGAGGGCCATGAGACTTAGTCCTGAGTGCAAAAATGGAGGCTCTAGACCCTTCCAGAGCTGAGATATCGAAACTCAAAATTTCGACCCGAAAAAAAAACGACAGTGGTACCCCTTACGTTTTTTTTTGGGGGGTGAAAAATTAAGTTTCCCCAATCTTCTCAAAACTCTGGATTCTGATAGAGGGCCATGAGACTTAGTCCTGAGTGCAAAAATGGAGGCTCTAGACCCTTCCAGAGCTGAGATATCGGAACTCAAAATTTCGACCCGAAAAAAAAAACGACAGTGGTACCCCTTACGTTTTTTTTGGGGGGGCGAAAAATTAAGTTTCCCCAATCTTCTCAAAACTCTGGATTCTGATAGAGGGCCATGAGACTTAGTCCTGAGTGCAAAAATGGAGGCTCTAGACCCTTCCAGAGCTGAGATATCGAAACTCAAAATTTCGACCCGAAAAAAAAACGACAGTGGTACCCTTTACGTTTTTTTGGGGGGCGAAAAATTAAGTTTCCCAATCTTCTCAAAACTCTGGATTCTGATAGAGGGCCATGAGACTTAGTCCTGAGTGCAAAAATGGAGGCTCTAGACCCTTCCAGAGCTGAGATATCGAAACTCAAAATTTCGACCCGAAAAAAAAAACGACAGTGGTACCCCTTACGTTTTTTTGGTGGGGCGAAAAATTAAGTTTCCCCAATCTTCTCAAAACTCTGGATTCTGATAGAGGGCAATGAGACTTAGTCCTGAGTGCAAAAATGGAGGCTCTAGACCCTTCCAGAGCTGAGATATCGAAACTCAAAATTTCGACCCGAAAAAAAAACGACAGTGGTACCCCTTACGTTTTTTTTTGGGGGGGCGAAAAATTAAGTTTCCCCAATCTTCTCAAAACTCTGGATTCTGATAGAGGGCCATGAGACTTAGTCCTGAGTGCAAAAATGGAGGCTCTAGACCCTTCCAGAGCTGAGATATCGAAACTCAAAATTTCGACCCGAAAAAAAAAACGACAGTGGTACCCCTTACGTTTTTTTTGGGGGGGCGAAAAAATTAAGTTTCCCCAATCTTCTCAAAACTCTGGATTCTGATAGAGGGCCATGAGACTTAGTCCTGAGTGCAAAAATGGAGGCTCTAGACCCTTCCAGAGCTGAGATATCGAAACTCAAAATTTCGACCCGAAAAAAAAACGACAGTGGTACCCCTTACGTTTTTTTGGGGGGCGAAAAATTAAGTTTCCCCAATCTTCTCAAAACTCTGGATTCTGATAGAGGGCCATGAGACTTAGTCCTGAGTGCAAAAATGGAGGCTCTAGACCCTTCCAGAGCTGAGATATCGAAACTCAAAATTTCGACCCGAAAAAAAAACGACAGTGGTACCCCTTACGTTTTTTTTGGGGGGGGCGAAAAATTAAGTTTCCCCAATCTTCTCAAAACTCTGGATTCTGATAGAGGGCCATGAGACTTAGTCCTGAGTGCAAAAATGGAGGCTCTAGACCCTTCCAGAGCTGAGATATCGAAACTCAAAATTTCGACCCGAAAAAAAAACGACAGTGGTACCCCTTACGTTTTTTTGGGGGGGGCGAAAAATTAAGTTTCCCAATCTTCTCAAAACTCTGGATTCTGATAGAGGGCCATGAGACTTAGTCCTGAGTGCAAAAATGGAGGCTCTAGACCCTTCCAGAGCTGAGATATCGAAACTCAAAATTTCGACCCGAAAAAAAAAACGACAGTGGTACCCCTTACGTTTTTTTGGGGGGGCGAAAAATTAAGTTTCCCCAATCTTCTCAAAACTCTGGATTCTGATAGAGGGCAATGAGACTTAGTCCTGAGTGCAAAAATGGAGGCTCTAGACCCTTCCAGAGCTGAGATATCGAAACTCAAAATTTCGACCCGAAAAAAAAAAACGACAGTGGTACCCCTTACGTTTTTTTTGGGGGGGCGAAAAATTAAGTTTCCCCAATCTTCTCAAAACTCTGGATTCTGATAGAGGGCCATGAGACTTAGTCCTGAGTGCAAAAATGGAGGCTCTAGACCCTTCCAGAGCTGAGATATCGAAACTCAAAATTTCGACCCGAAAAAAAAACGACAGTGGTACCCCTTACGTTTTTTTTTGGGGGGGGCGAAAAATTAAGTTTTTCCAATCTTCTCAAAACTCTGGATTCTGATAGAGGGCCATGAGACTTAGTCCTGAGTGCAAAAATGGAGGCTCTAGACCCTTCCAGAGCTGAGATATCGAAACTCAAAATTTCGACCCGAAAAAAAACGACAGTGGTACCCCTTACGTTTTTTTTGGGGGGCAAAAAATTAAGTTTCCCCAATCTTCTCAAAACTCTGGATTCTGATAGAGGGCATTGACACTTAGTCCTGAGTGCAAAAATGGAGGCTCTAGACCCTTCCAGAGCTGAGATATCGAAACTCAAAATTTCGACCCGAAAAAAAAAACGACAGTGGTACCCCTTACGTTTTTTTTGGTGGGGCGAAAAATTACGTTTCCCCAATCTTCTCAAAACTCTGGATTCTGATAGAGGGCCATGAGACTTAGTCCTGAGTGCAAAAATGGAGGCTCTAGACCCTTCCAGAGCTGAGATATCGAAACTTAAAATTTCGACCCCAAAAAAAAAGATCTCTGATCTTCTTGAAACTCTGGATTCTGATAGAGGGCCATGAGACTTAGACCTTCCAGAGCTGAGATATTGAGATTTTTATAATGGCATAAATGCTAAGTGGGATCTCAATATCTCAGCTCTGGAAGGGTCTAGATACTCCATTTTTGCACTCAGGTCTAAGTCTCATGGCCATCTATCAGAAACTCATACAGGTTTGGAACAACATGAGGGTGAGTAAGTGATGACAAATATAATTTGTGGTTGAACTATACCTTTAAAGGCATAGTTCACCCAAAAATTTAAATTAGCCCATGATTTAATCACCCTGGCCTCAGAACCTTCCTCAGCCAACCCAGAACCTTCCTCAGCCAACCTGGAATTGATGGATCGTTGTTGTTTGGAATAAATACAAGTCGGGTAAAAATTCCATTCGATTTCCCCATTTAATTATTTTTTTAGAATAACTGTGAGCTACAAACATGGTTATTCGATAGCATTTACTTCTGTTGAAGCTGTTAGCCCACATTATTTTAACTTAGTTTTAAAACCAAATTAGGAACCTTTAAAATAAGAGGCACATAAATAGCATAAATGAGAAATTATAGAAAGAATATTGAATGACAGGAGATATAACAGTGTAATCATTTCAATTTATTCTATATAAACATGCAGCATTTGAATATAACGTCATTGCTTTCATGACATTATCCTGGTGATACAAAACAGGATACAATACAATTACAAAAGCAGATAAAATGAAGTTGAGACTATAGACTAATATTTACTTTCTGAAATAAAATGCACATCACACACCAAAGATGACCCTGAGATCTGCCAGAGACAGTTTAGTGAATGAGGATCCAGTTCCAGACAAGACTTTCTGAGCCAGCTCCTTCTTCTTCTCCTGTAGTGAAGAGATCTTGTCTTCCACTGTACAGTCACACACAAACCTGTAAAGAGATTGACCCACATGACAGTATTAAATCAATGTGATTTGTATCACCTGCTAATGTTTTCTTGCATGATAGGAAACTATGCTGAAAGCCATAACCTGGTATTAAGAAGCACTTTGGTCGATCGGATCGTTCTTAATGCTAAATACAGGTGTAAATGGGGTCTAAAAAGTTGAGCAAGACCACTTTCAAAAAGTTTAATTTTCGATCGACCAAACGCATCGTATCACCAGGGTCTCAGTTGCCTCTCCGGGTTTGTCTTGTGCTTTAATTAACCCTTATATTAAGTAGTTAATGCTTATATGCATCTTATTAGGTCTTATTAACTGTTAATTACTGCTTATTACAAGCACCTTAAAATAAAGTGTTATCAACCCTTCTTGACTGTGCAACTGTCTATTATTGAATACAAATCTTCACCTGTGAATTGTAACATTCCGGGATTGTCCCACCCTATAGATCCGGTCACATGCCTGGTCTTCTAGTGCTGGGTTCCTGTGAAAAAAGGCCCAGATTATTTACATTTTCCTGTAGTCTCTCTTAATTAATACACTTGCATACCAGTTTGCAGCATGAACCAAAGCCATTTTGTTAGCATTTTCCTGTTCATTTTGTAAAATAGTCTTCAGACCGATGGTGTGACCAGCATTCAAATAAGCGACAAGAGTCACTTACATAAAGATCTTCTGTGTATAACTGACACTATTATTAATAAATGTTCATTAAGCATTATTAAAATCTCTTTGGGACCTGTGAAGTGACTCACCAATGCATGTCAATCAGAAACAGATGATTCCCTCCAATCAGATTGATGCCCACACCTCCAGCACACAGAGACACCAGCATCACCTGTGATATCATACAAACAAAGAACAAAATACTTCCTGAAGTCAGCGGGAAAAGCAACTGAACAGTCAGTGAGATTACGGACATTCAATAAATCATACAATAAATGAAAAGTTGATGAAAGGCTTTGACCCTCTGAACTCAATGAAAAGGAATAAGTCACATGCCTGTGGTCCTTTAGGGTTAGTGTTGAACTCCTCCACTAGGTCCATTCTGTGTTTGGGATTGATTGTGCCATCAATTACCGCAAAAGTCAGACCCATTTTCTTCAAATGAACAGCAACAATTTTCAGCATGCTGGTCCACTGAGAGACAATCACACTGCCAAGCAGAATAAAAAAGAAGTACAAGGTGGTTTTGGGTAAGGAATCTCAATATGAAAGAATGATAGTAATTCAAACAAACACTCTTCTAATGACAATTTCCTCAGTGGAAAATTACTCTCAGGTTGATCTAAAATAAGTTTTTGTTAGTTTCCCCTTTAAAACTCCATATGGTGACATGCAGAATATTCATGCTTCCTACACATTATTTATGTGGATGTACTACTGATAAAATATATTTAAAGGTTTCATTGTTTACCTAAACTAAAACTGTAGTTGACATACCTTTTTTGATCTTTCTTTGTAATTTCTCTCAACTCTGTCAGTATGGCTAAAATCTGAAATAAATAAATAACATCAAAAAGAGCAAAGTGTCAGAGATCGCTTGCAATAAAAATAAGGTGGATCCTGCAGGTGCATTAGACACAGCAGGGTAAGGCAGAGGATGCTCACCTTAGTGCTTTCACAAGCATCCTGGAAGAGCTCAGAGGGGAATTTAGTGCCATTGAGAGAGACGGTGTCTTTAGGGTCAGAGTCTGAGGGCTCAGAGAGAGACAGAGCACACAGCTGCTCTTCTAGAGACAGAGCAACACCATCTCCCTGCAGCTCTGTCTGATCTAGAGTCTGGAAAAACACACATCAGTATGTGAACTAGAGTATTAAGTGTGTTTGAGACAGTGAGGGGACATCACCTTCTTGAGCAGAGACAGGTGGCAGCAGCACTGCCTGAGACGCAGCAGCAGTGACAAGATGTGGATGGTGCTGGAGGCCTGAGGCTGCTGAGAGGAAGACAGCGAGTCCTTCTGAGACATCCCAAACTCCCGTGCAACTGAGACAAAGGCACAATCATTACAGAGAAACTAAAATAATGCCAATAAATTATTCTACATAAAACAGCTTCTATTGTCCATCACATTACAAAAATGAAAAGAGAATATATATTAGACAAAGTGCCTATGTTTTTTCCCCCAATGTATTAACTGTGTGCATACACACCTCTTCATGTGTACAACCAACCAGGTGTACAAGCCATTAACAATTTAGCGAGTCAATGGTTAAACCTTATCGTATTTAAACTCCCAATTTTGGAATATGCAACTGAAGCTTAATTCTGAAAACATAAGACTAATCACACTCAGTCCTTAGCGAAGAACATGTTATGATAGAGACTGCTTGCCTTTCTCAAAAGGATTACTATTGTCTGCCTTTTTAGTGTTTCCTTCTTCATGTCTTTTGAGATAGTTTTGAAGTGTGGACCTGAGGAGGAAGAAGACAAGCTGATGTCCATATGAGAAACCATGCACGCAAAACGTCAGGAAATGTACTGAATATGCATAAAAACTGGAGTTCAGTGACATGGTATACCTGGATTGTGCAAACACAACATCATATACAGCCTGCTCATCTTCAGACAGCTTCAATCTATGAACCTTGCAGGTCCGATTGGGCAGAGACACCTGAAACAAAAGCACAAACGTTACAAGATTCCTTTAGGTAACCAATAAATCTGCATAATCTTTTTGTCATTTGTGATAACAGATCACTTAAGATTACACTAACAAAGAACAATTTCTAGTTGATTAAATAGTCTGAGCATAACTAAATAAAATGTATGCTCTCTATAGAAATTTCCAAGACATTATAGGATTTTATTAATTTTCAGATAAGGAAACCACAATTTAAACTATTCCTAATAAATCTTTTCAAAGCATGAGGTTTATATTAATTTCAAGACTATGAAAACTACACATTGTGTGTGTGTGTGTGTGTGTACTATTCCTAATAAATCTTTTCAAAGCATGAGGTTTATATTAATTTCAAGACTATGAAAACTACACATTGTGTGTGTGTGTGTGTGTGTGTGTGTGTGTGTGTGTGTACCAGTGGTTTTCCAGAAGAGTCCAGCTGGTCTTTGGTCCTGCGTAGCAGCAGTGCTCTGGTGAGGATGTTCAGTCTCTCTCCTCCTCTCTTTGAGCCATTATCTACTTGAGACTTCCACAGCTTAAACTCATCAAAAGGAGAACATCTCAGAAACCTGCACAGCATGTGCAAAAACAACAGCAGTTAAAGTAGTCTGCCACATAATACATCACTATAGAGGACTCTGCTGCAGAATTGTGGAACAACAGATACTCAGCTCTTGTTATTCACTTACTCCACTGAATCAACTATTTCCCTCCTAAATCGTTCATCTGTCCATGCACAGCGCAATTATTTATATTTTATGCCGTTTGGAATTCTGAACGGGCCACCACTGGAGACCTCTTTGCGTGATCACGAAGGTAGGCTAATGGCTGAATCGGACTTAATAAGCAAGATCACGGGATTTAAAAGCCTATACAGCCCAGTAGTGCTAAAATAAATATCAAGAGACGTACATCATCAGATGAATGACATGGAAAAGCCGCTAAAGCCAGTGCAACTACCCATGCGAACATGAACACTAAGCTTTTCCCTCCAAAAATATAGCCTAAAACTTATCTAAGTAACATACAGTATCTCGTTGTCACTCTGCCTCTCCAAATACAAAGCTGACATTAACAAAATGCAATAACAGCTTAAAAAGTACTTGGGTGTGTGTTTTATTTTATATTTACTGTTTAATAATGCAATCGCTGCTGTGTGTCCCATAGAAGAACATGACAGCCCGTGTATGTTTTGGAACTATAGGGGTTTACATAAACCACGTGACATGTCTCTCTATGGCTCTGCTTGGGATAAGTCTCAAAATGTAGCAGAAAAGAGTCAAAACCAATCATACTTGAGCAGTGAATACATATCCAGCAGGTTGTTCTGAATAGGGGTTCCAGTGACAGCCCAGCGGGATCGGGCCCGCAGCTTACACACCGCCATGGACGTCTGGACCTTAGGGTTCTTAATGTTATGAGCCTCATCGAGAATCACACGTGTCCAGGCAACACGTAAAAGAGGCGGGAGGTCTGAGGCCTACAACCAGAAGAAATAGCTACTGAAATCAACTTACTGGGAAAAACAAAACTAACAGGTCTAGGCCCTCAAACCTCTCAGATAATCTAATGAATCATTCAAATGTTTTGGTCTCTATTCATACCACATGATCAGAGTCTCGAGAAGGTTTATCCGCATCCTCCTTCTGCACAGGGATTTCCTTAGAGACCAGACTGTACGTAGTGATCACCACATCATGCTCAGCAAGGCTGGTGGAGACACAAAACGGCAAGACAGGAAGAGAGATTAAGCTAAAGGACAAGCAAAAGCAAAAAATTAGACAGACAACAGGAAATAGAATTTATGAGAGCTGGTTGAAGCTAATTGCACGTCAGTGACCAAAAAGTATTTGGACACTTAGAAATGTATAAATATTGTTTGAGGAAAAAAATCAAAAATCAAATAACCAGTACCAATAGCCCAGGGGGATTTATTTTTAAATAAATGTAGTAAAAACTTGAGGGGAGCAGACTTGAAGTAAATAATTGTCACATGGTTTAAGAATTTGTATTTCAAATAATAGCAATTTTACATGTTTGCAACTGAAGTGCCCAAGTCATTTCTGGCACCACTGAATGTGTAGTAGTCTAAATTGGAGGAGTTTCTATCAATTGTGCATGTGCATTTCATTACTAACCACACATCTTTGCACATCTGGATTATTACTTTAGTAAGACATCATTGTTCTGACTGGACAAACTGTAGCCTTCAGGCAAAGCAAAACTAGCAATTAGAGTAGATTTCAAAAGATTTTTTCAGCATTTGAGATTCATCATGCAATATGTATGATTGGTTAAAAGCTTCACAAATATATATGAATATGAGTGCATGGCCTACATTCTTGAACTCCTCTGTCGGTTGGGGCCATGGTACAAATACACACTGAGGCGACTACTCTTCACACGCTTATCAATCTCGTTCTTCCAGTGATGCACCAGAGAAGCAGGACAGATGATCAACGTCCCCTGAGAAGCCACTAAGGTGGAATCTGAGGATGGTAATTATGATACATACAATTCTGCATTTGTTAGAGTAATACAACAGCTTTGAGAATAGCAGGCATGGCAGAAAATCAATTCACACACACACACACACAAACCAACACACACACCATCTAAGAGTATGAGCATTGATGGATACCATTTTTAGAGATCCATTCCTCCAGTTTTTCAACCTCCTTCTTCTGAGACAGAATGAGGGAGATCATTGTGAGTGTCTTTCCTAGGCCCATGTCATCAGCTTAAATAAATAAATAATAATAACAAGTTCAATGAAACCTTTTCACAGACTGTGATTTCCACATCATACTGTGATATTAACATCACAAATCTAGTAAAGTTTTTTTTAATATATTTTCATGTTTGTTTAATTGTTGTACATTTGTAACACTATCATTTGTGTTATACATTACGTTGGTGTTAAAATACAAAAAAGCTGAGGGAGTGACAGTAAATTATCTCTCTTTTCTGACTGATAATAAATATTTCTTGTTTTTCTTCTTCTTGCCACTTTGAGAAAGTTTGGCCTTGATTTATTTTATTTTGACAGTACACTAGAAGCATCGATTTATAAATGTTTCACACATTTATATATTTTTACTCCTCAGTTGAATTTTTTTTTTTTAGGCCTACACTATATTTTTATGCAAATTGCATTCATTTAATAAATAAATAAATTAAAATTCTAATGGAAAAAAATTGCTCATAAAACTTATTTTAAATAATTAAATGCAAAGTATCATAAAAATCTTAAATTCTAAATCAAAATAAAAAATTATTATTAAACAAAAATATATTTCATTGGTTTTCCAGGGGAAAAAAAAAAGTCTGTTTTGGTCTTTTTTGACCGGGAGGAAGCTAAGTGTAACCCCTAAACGAAGAAGCCCAGAAGCAGTTCATGGATGGAATGGCACCTGCATTTGTTTCTGAGCTCATCATTCTTCGCCAGAAGTTTAGATCAACAAACACACTTATTATTTCATGGATTCATAGATATACTCATGGATTATATTTTATATAAAATATATAAAACTTAAACAGGATGACGTTTTTTTTTCCCCACTGTGGGTCTGAGGTTTGCATCTGTCAAAAGTTTTAAAGTATGTGTAAAAACAATCATTTTTTTTTCTTTTAAGGAATAGGACTAGTGCATGTTTTTAAAGGGATAGTTCACCCACAAATTAAAATATTCTCTCTCCATTTACTCCTCATTCTATCCCTGATGTATTTGACTTTCTTTGTTCAGTCCATCCCATAATCGCTTGTATGACAGTACACTAGAAGCATTGATTTATAGTTAAAATTTTTTATTTTTTTCTTACACACACCTATCATTTTTCTTCAGAACATTTATCCACTGATGTCATCTGAATTACCGTCATGATCGACGTGTGTGGTTTTTTTGAGCGTCATATGAGCAGAAGCCATTCAGCGGCATAACATGAATTCACAGAAATGTTTTGTTTTTGTTTATCTGAAGAAATTATGTCATAAACATTGGGGATAGCATGAGGGTGAGTAAATTATGAGAGAATATTTATGTTTTGGGTGAACCATCCTTTTAACTGATGCCATAGATGGTTCATCTTGTTTTATGTTTTATATTGTATTGTATTTTTTTGTTTGTACGTGTTTGTAGAATTTGGGCCTACATGTCCAGCATCACATTGAAATCTTGATCATCTTCTTAGAGCTTATTTTCCAGTAATGACTGACTGAATAAATAAAATAGAAATACACAACAATACTTGTTAAATTGACACATCAATCATTCTCACAAGAGCAATGAGTATTACCCAAAATTCCCCCACAGGGTTTCTGTGTCTCTCTCCACAGCAGCCAGGCCAAAGCTCTCCTCTGATGAGGCAACAGCTCCACCTTGTGAAGATCATCATGACAAAGTCATGGTTAAATAACCCTTTTTTAGTTAGTAAGACGGTATAAATGTGAAGTGACTTTCATATACCATCTTACTATAACAGCATTATTTAACCATTCCAACTATTGCACAAAAAAAATGAGAAACTAGCCGATTATGCTGATCTCTCTAGAGCTGTTTCAAAAACAAATATATACTCATAAAATATATACTCATAGTAAGGTCAATAGGTAATATATACTCATAGTAAGGCCATCAATACTTTGATTTGGCTTTCTCCAAAGAGAAACAATGTACATTTTATATCATAAGTTTTATTTAAAAAATAATACTAACAATAATTGTGCCAATGTTTTACTGATTTATAGTCTGAACTAACTTACCTTAATTCCTTTGGGGTCCTTTACCTCTGTGTCTTCTGTAGGGCAGGACTCCAGAGAGTTGTGCAGATGGTCGATGACCTCAGTGGTGGCATTGCGTACAGCCAGCAGTCTGTTCTCAGTCATCCTTCCACCATAGAAAGCCTGGCTCTGAGGATTCACTGAAGAGTCAACCAGCCAAATCAGAACATCAATACACTTACTAATGAAATGGGCATAGAACACACCAATTTGTAAGAGAAGAATGAGATTAAACACTATACCTCCATACATCTGGGTGTAGCCTTGGCTCAGGTTTAGGCCCAGCGAGGCACCAGATGATTCCTTCAGCATGGGAGCTGGAGCTGTGGGCAGGAGGATTGTGCCACCAGGACGACTGAATGGATTGAACAGGCTGGGCTGTGTGGGCTTATGTTCTGCCTCTTTTCTGTCTTTATCTTGAGACTCTACATTTAAATAATTAGAAGAATTAATTTATATTTCAACACTTTTTCCAGTTTATAAAGCTAAATTATTATCAATGCATAAAAATCATTACATTTCTGGGGTGTTGCACCAAATTATATTTTACAACCTAAACTAACCTTTATTTTTTAGAAAAATGGTTATACCCTTTTGTGCACCCTTTGGCCAAAAATATGTTCAACAGGTCAAATATGGACTAACTTATGGCTGATGTAACATTATAGAAGGAGTCAATGAGAATGTATAGGAAGGTCAAGATCGAGTACCCCCTACATGTTAGTTACAATACATGACTTTGCAAAGGCAAACATTTGTTTCAAATATTGAAAAAACGCTGTAAATCAGTATTGGTAATATATATATTTTTGTTTCAGAAATAATCATTAAAAGATTATGATAAATTACTTTTCTTTTTTTTAATCAGGGTTTCAAAAATATCATTCCTATATTGATGATTTTTCATTTATTATCATATTGGGACAGTTGATTCAACCTCACATATACACTGTTTAAATTTAGAGGTCTGTAAGATTTTTTTTTTTTTTTTTAAATGTTTTTGAAAGAAGTTACTCATGGTCACTGCTACTTTTTATTTAATCAAAAATACAGTAAAAAGCAGTAATACTGCAATTAGTATTATTATTTAAAATGACTGTTTTTTATTTTCATATATTTTATGTAATGCATTCCTGTGATGGCAAATCTGAATTTTCAGGATCATTACTCCAGTCTTTAGTGCCACATGATCCTTCAGAAACCTTTGGGTCCTTCGGGTTTCTTGGTTGAATAGAAAAATCAAAAGGAACTTTTTTGAAACTGAAATCTTTTGTAACATTTAGGCCCAGTTTCTCAGACAGGGCTTAACTATGATTAGGCCTTAGTTCAATTAGGCCATTTAAGAAACATTTAAAAATGTGTCTTGGAAAAAATAACTGGTGTGCATCTTGAGACAAACTAATTGCAATTACATTTTAAGATTGGTCAGTGCCAGTTTTTCAGTTAAAACAGCTCAAACATGCATTTTAGTGTAGGACTAGCTTAAGCCTCGTCTGTGAAAACGGGGATAAATGAATTTACTGTCACTTTTGATTTATACAATGCATTCTTGCTGAATAAAAGTTATGATTTCTTTCTTTCTTTCTTTCTTTCTCTCTCTCTCTTAATTACTAGACCACAAACTTTGGAACATTAGTGCAACCAGGCCAGGTCAAATTTGTAAATGAGAAGTGGTTCTCAAACAGTTTACCTGGATAAATAAAGGTTAAATAAAATAAATAAAACACCCCACCCCTAAAAATATAACAAAATAAATTTACATTTAAATAAAACCCATGCTCATAACAGAGGCATATTCAAGTCACATGAATAGCATCAGTTTTACCAGACAGAGAAGCTGTGGTCAAGCTCAGAGAGTCCAGGGCCTCTTCCAGTTCCTTCACCTGACTCTTCAAACGCTCTCCTTTATCTGGCAGAGCAGATACATTCACCACTGAAAGAGTGGCCTGAGAAAAGATGGAGCACCAATAAAGGGATAAAAAGTGACTGTTAAGCAACAGAAAATAAATCTATTGTAAATTATATAACTATTGTTGTAACTATCACAGAATACTAACTGTACTTAAGAAGAAAAAAAAAGCAATAAATGTGAGTAACCTTCTTCTGCTTGAGCTGGGCTGTTAGATGGTTGTGGAGGTCCTCAGACTGACCCTGGCACTTAGAGGCAGGCTGGAAACCAGGGTAAGAGGTGAGTGTTTTCTGAACAGGTGCAGCAGGAGTCGGAGCACTCTGCTGGGTGGGAGGCTGTACCGATATTAGCTGAACGTCATCATCCTCATCACTCCACTCACCGAACCGTGCTATGCTCTTCTGGTCCTTCTCTCGACTCTGGTTTGATACTGTCTTCTGAACATTGAGTGCTGAGGACTTTTCAGAAACTGGCACATCCCTTAATGTGGAGCATGAAGGTGTCTGACTCTTGCTCTCCAGGCTTTGAGTTTTATCTGTGACTGATTTTGAATTAGTAGTGCTTTGCTTGTTTGAGCAGTCATCCTTGGTCTTATTCTCTACTGAAGATTTCTCATCACATCCAGAAGGGCTTTTTGAGCTTTTTGAAGGGCTTTGGGGAGAGCTCCCTGTTTTTTTTGCAGGCTTCTGCTCCTGCAGGACTTTGATACTGGTCTCAGATTCACCAGGTCCTTGAACACTTTCCTTCATAGAGTTTGGACTCTCAGGGCATGTCTCGTCCTCAGCTGTGCTCGTCTGTCTCTCATCATCAGACACTCTCTTCTTTATCTTCATCCCGGCAGGAAGCTTCTTGTTCCTCCAGGACTCTGAACCTCCAGAGTCTTTCCCCTCTCTGTCCAAGACACTTTCATGAACCAGGCCATTCTTATTATTCCCTTCTATCTCTGTTGTCTTGAAACAGCCTTCTTTCTTTTTAGCTCTACCATGATCTTCACTGGTCACATGTTTATTTTCACCTTTAACCTCTCCTCTATCCTTTTCAGCATCTGGATCCCTCCTGTGTTCTGAAGATTTGTCTTGTTTTGTCTTGACTTTGAAAGGGTTCCTGACTGGAGTGAGGCTGGAGGATTGAAGATCTTTGTCTTTCAAATCAGTCCGTCTCTCAGGGTCTTTCTGCAAGAAGGTTGTAAAACAACTGAATTGTGAGAAGAAATATATTCATAAAGTCTTAAGACTGATTTACTTATACAGTATATTGTGGACACAAATATAATAAATATTTTTAAAAATCACCTCTCTCCAAGGAACACACCCACACCACTTCTGTCCCTCAGTTTTTCCAAGCATACAGCGATAAAACAATCTGATTATGAAAGAAATAAAGTATTAATGGTATGGATTAATAATCCTTCCCTCTCTTCCTTTCACTGTTATATTACAAAGATTGTTTGGAGATTTGAAAAACATGACCAAAACAAAAGAACGAGTCTCCATGTGTTCAGCTGCTTTCATAGATGTTAAGAGGATTTATGACTAGACAAACCTATAACACTTGCTTATGAATTAAGGATTGAGACTCTTTTATCTCCAAGTAACCACATTCATGACATGTAGTGGAACAGAACTCCTTTTATGGAACATTTATAGAAAAAAAATACCAACTGAGTCTGCATATGATTTTAATAACTATTTTAATTGGTCATTGCCGTATCCTGTCAATTGACCAAACTAAGTTCTATACTGTTCATTATTGTTTCTACTAGAGCTGTCCTACCCAACACTTCAAAATGTATTGAAGTCTCACAGTAGGTATATAGTAGATAGGTATAAAGCATAACCCTTACTTATATTTGTCCTGTTTTTCACTGTAAGTTAGTGTTTGAAGTTCAACCATGGAGTCTTCATGCTTAAGGCAGTGAGATGGAGGGATCCTGAAGAACATACATGATATCCTCAGAGCAGAGCAACAACACACAAACCCATACACATGAGAAACAAAACCAATTATTCCCATGTCAATGTGTCCATGGATATAGGGGAAATAAAATGATGCTGGCATTATTAAAATGCATATATAAAGGTGAGTAGTTACACACTCTGTGGGCAGTGAAAAGCTGCAGGGCGTTGCATCACGCGCAGTGCAAACATAGAAACTTTTTCCTTTATTCGGTCCTTCCTTTACACCAGTCTTCAACAAACATGTACTGCCTGAATAACAAAAATAGAATTAGCATATTTTCTGTATTTTTTTTTTTAAATTAATATTATTATTCGCATCCATGCATCGTTGTCTAGAGGTAGCCTACTTAATTAAAGCTTGTGAATACATAAGTTACTGCGTACAGAGTAAAACTGTTCAACAAGAATCTTTACACGAAAAAACGCGTACGGTAAGTTACTCACCGTGTGTTTCACACAGAACTCTTTCCATTTTCTTATGACAGCAGCTTATTTCATTCACTCACTGCCTTCACTTTCAATATGAACACAAACTGCCGCCGCTGTCGCGGTTTTGATGACGTAATCTGTGATGTAGCCAATACATGCATTACTGTAGACCTTATGCAAGAATGAATCTACTTGATCAATATCTACATTGTTGGAAATGATCCAGATGTTAATAGGTGCATGTTTGCACTATTGTAAAGCAATTTTTGAATAAAAACAATAAAAATAAAATAAAAATAATGTAGACAATAAAATAAACAAATAACGTTCAAAAAACGTTATAGACCATTAAAATGTAGACCATTAGACCATTAAAAGACCACACTAATGTAATTAAATTTGCCCACCAGTAGTTTGGGTATTTTTGCAGAAGCTTATATTGTACATTTTGTACGGGCATGTCGCCATATTGACCAAACAAAAATAAAAGCCAAATGGAATTTCTTCAGATATTCCAGCAGGTGGAGACATGTGCACATGAATGGAAGTGACGTGTCTAGTGTTTTAAATATGATTACTAGGGTGTTAACCGATAAGTATTAGCTACTGTCTGTCTGTCACTGCTGTTCACACATAGGTAGGCTAGTTTACTGCTAACAGCAGAGGGAAATCATTTGATCTGCGTGAATATGCATACTTCTTTTGATAACCTAATGATATAGCTAAAGTACCATGAATAGGCCTATAGGCCTATAATTCATCCATGATAGGCCTACATGCCGCATATATGAGGTACCTCACATTTTAACATACCGGTAGTCTGGGCCAATAAAGTTATTTTTAAGATATTTTTTGTACCTTCAAATATCTCCCAGAAAGCTTCACAATTTTTCATTACAACTTAGGTTCATCACCACCCAAATAAACTTCATCCAGTTTTCTTCAGTGCATCTTTTTGGTTCATCTATTAGCCTACACTCTATACTTTTTATTCCTAATAATTATAGCTCAACATTGTTTTTTTATTTATTCATTTATTTCACTTTATGGAAAATCTTGAAAGATTTTTTTGTATTTATTTATATTTTTTTAATAATTGTAAAATATCCTGTTGAAGCCACAATGGACTTTTCATTTTCATTATTTTTCTTAAAATTTACAGATGTATTGCTTGTGCTGCCTACTATATGCTAAATTAATGAATATCTGAACCACGTGATTCCACTTTCATGCAATATAATATAAAATAAAAATAATAAAAATACTTTAATGAAGAGGCTTTATTATGAAGAGGCTTTTATTGCTGCAGTTATTTGTGTCCTCCAAACAACATTATTTTCCAAGCCAGCATTTTTCTTTATTGTGTATAAACAATGAAGTATCTAAAGTCTCATTCTCAGGAGTGTGTAAACACCTCAAAAGCACATGCTGACAATACAAATTTAAGCATCTGCTCAGCTTACGCTTCGTCTGAAGTTTCTCCTCTAACCAGGCAGGTAACTTTTACCATCTCTGCCTGCTCTCCGAAGAATTAATGAATTATTTGAAATGCCATCTGGAGCAGCAATATTTCTCGTAGTCATGAAAAGGACAAGAGGAAGAGTGCTACTCATTTCAAGGATGAGTGAAAACCCATCATATGCAGTTAATAACTGCTAAAGCCACACACAGAAAGAGACATAGACAGAGGCATTTAGTATATGGATTTTAGGGGCCCCATCTTGCACCCATGCGCAATTGACTTTGTACCCCGACTCATGTATCATTCGTATTTTGCACCCGTGCAAAGCGGACTTTTCCCTCCAAAGACACATGCCGACACATTAGCAACTTGTGTTCACTGAGCGGTTCAGCACAAAAAAAATAAAATAAAAAATGAGGCGTGTTCCAGCGCAAACCATCCCTGGTGCTATTTTGCAGTTCCAGAAATCAATTGCACCACTGACCAGAAAAAAACATAGACAGTATAAGAAGTGGATGGAGCCATCTCATTGGAACTCCATTAAGACAAGTGAAGCCCGTTTTTGGCGATTTTTTAGCACTTCCGTTCCTGACGCGCAGACTCAAACTGACTCAAACAGAGCTTGAAGTAGATGTGACATGGCAAACCCGTCTGTCTTCTAGTGGCTGTGGCATGAGAAATCTGAATCATTCCCTTCCGAAACTCGCAGAGGCAGAGAGTGTGAGTAGGAGCTGTCTATGAGCTAGGAGCAGGAGAAACTTTTGCTAGGTATTCTCCTGATTAATTATTTTGTCATTTGATACATTATTATGAGGAAAATATTAAAACGGAAGGGAAATCATTGTTGTGTTTCCATGACGTTGGGAAAAATAGGCATAAATCTTACACATTTACCCAAATTATTATATGCATGTTTAACCGAAGCAAATTTGAGTGGGTTTGTCCCATCCCCAATGTCACTTCTCTTTCTTTTACAGCCCTGACAAGAACATCGATCTCCTCGGCTGTGAACCGATTCTGAAGCGTGCCTGGTTATAATAGGATTGCTCCATGGAACAAGTGCACCTTGTTCATTATGCTCTTAAAGGGAATGTGATATTAAGCTGTTATTTGGTTTGTTTCCTGTTACGCCCAAACCACACCTATGAATAATGACAATGCATTCTCACCCCAAGGCATCACCTTTGACCATGCTTCAATATTTGACGTAATAGGCGCCCTTTAGCGTCACTTACATGACGCGATCCTACGGCGTCATCTAACTGACGCTAAAGGAAAGCGTCAGTTAGAGGACGCGGTTAGGTTTAGGTCTGGGGTGGGGGTAGGGTACACGCGATCCTAGGGCTTCATCTAACTGAAGGCCAATTTATACTTCTGCGTCGAGGGTACGCCGTAATGTGCGGCGTTGGCTACGCACGTAGGCGACGCCGTTATGAGCATTTATACTTCTGCATTCAGGTCTTGTTGCTCTGCAGTACTGCTCCGAAACGCTAGTTGGCGGCGGAGAGTTTTAATGTTCCACTGTGTTTAGATTCCTCGCGGCTAGGGTACTACAAGCAATAGCGATTGAAAGAGAGTGGATCATGTTGGAGTTGGAGCTTATTGAGGTGGAAAAACAGTTCACTTTAGTGAAATGAAAGGCAGAAATGAGAGAAGACGTCAGAGGAAATGGTACGTGTGGAAATCATAGACAGTGATGGAAATGCGTGAGAAGGTACGTGCGGAAATGCGTAGGAGGAAATGCGATGCTACCAAGCCGACCAATCACCGATCTTGCGGTCCGCGTCGTCGCGACGTGTAGTTACATTTTTGAGGAGGTGCGCGTCAGGCGACGGCGAAGGGTACGCGCAATGGGACGCGTCTGTGCGTATGCTACGCCGTACCTACTGCGCACACCCTACGCAGAAGTATAAATTGGCCTTAACGCTAAAGGGCGCCTAAAGCGTCAGATATTGAAGCATGGGCCTTGGGGGTGAGAATGGGCTGATAATGAAGCTACTTCAGACCAACCCCTTTTAGATTTGCGTGGTGGTCCCTCTTTTTAAGAAGGTGGACTGTAGGTTGTGTTCCAACTATAGGGGGATCACACTTCTCAGCCTCCCTAGGAAAGTCTATGCCAGGGTACTGGAGAGGAGAATACGGCCGATAGTGGAACCTCGGATTCAGGAGGAACAGTGCGGTTTTCGTCCAGGCCATGGAAAACTGGACCAGCTCTATACTCTCTACAGGGTGCTGGAGGGTTCATGGGAGTTTGCCCAATGAGTCCACATGTGCTTTGTGGATTTGGAGAAGTCATTCGACTGTGTCCCCCGAGGCGGCCTGTGGAGGGTACTCCGGGAGTATAGGGTCACAGCCCATTCTCACCCCCGAGGCGTCACTTAACTGACGCCTTGGGAAGCATTTGGACATGCTTCAATATCTGACGCTTTAGGCACCCTTTAGCGTCAGTTAGATGACGCCCTAGGATCGCGTGTACCCTACCCCCACCCCACACCTAAACCTAACCGCGTCCTCTAACAGACGCTTTCCTTTAGCGTCAGTTAGATGACGCCGTAGGATCGCGTCATGTAAGTGACGCTAAAGGGCGCCTAAAACGTCAAATATTGAAGCATGGTCAAAGGTGACGCCTTGGGGTGAGAATGCGTTGAGGGTCAGGGTTCCTTTGCTAAGGGCTGTCCGTTCCCTGTATGACCGAAGAAGGAGCTTGGTTCGCATTGACGGTAAGTCAGACTTCTTCCCGGTGCATGTTAGACTCTGGCAGGGCTGTGCTTTCTCGCTGGTTCTGTTCATAATTTTTATGGACAGAACTTCTAGGTGCAGCCAGGGACCGGAGAGTGTCAGGTTTGGGGACCACGCGATTTCGTCTCTGCTTTTTGTGGATGATTTTGCTGTGTTAGCCCCTTCACACCAGGACCTTCAGCATGCACTGATGTTTGCAGCCGAGTGTGAAGCGGCTGGGAGCGGCAGTCGAAGGGTGGCTTGTTCACTTCAGGTTGGTGGAGTTTAAGTATCTTGGGGTTTTGTTCACGAGTGAGGGAGGGATGGAACGGGAGATTGACAGATGGATCGATGCAGCTTCTGCAGTGATGCGGTCGATGTACCGGTCTGTTGTGGTAAAGAAGGAGCTGAGCCGTAAGGCAAAGCTCTTGATTTACCGGTCAGTCTACGCTTCTACTCTCACCTATGGTCATGAGCTTTGGGTCATGACCGAAATGACAATATCCCGGATACAGGTGGCCGAAATGAGCTTTCTCTGCAGGATGGCTGGGCGATCCCTTAGAGATAGGGTGAGAAGATCGGTCACTCAGGAGGAGCTCATAGTAGATCCGCTGCTCCTCCACATCGAGAGGGGTCAGCTGAGGTGGCTCGGGCATCTGTTCCGGATGCCTCCTGGATGCCTTCCCGGGGAGGTGTTCCGGGCACGTCCCACTGGGAGGAGAACCTGGGGAAGACCTAGGACACGCTGGAGAGACTATGTCTCCTGGCTGGCCAGGGAACGCCTTGGAAGAGGTGGAGGAAGTGTCTAGGGAGAGGGAAGTCTGGGTATCTCTGCTTAGACTGCTGAGATAGACGTGCCCCATGACCCGGCCAAACGGAAGATGGATGGATGGAAAAAACAAAAACAAAGGTTTAATATTATTTCAGGTAGCTTG